AATCCCACACTGCATGTGCCTCGGGTCTTACCCTGGTGGCTGAGACAGGCCATCCCAACACTTGGTGGCACACCAGTGTTAGCCTTGGCAGGATAAATCTCCTCAGATTTATCCAACGGCTATGAATATTTAAAACTAACACGAGTCTCTATAAGTGTCCAGTTTTAGGGTCTTACACAGAATTAAACCAAAGAACATGAATCAAACATGTACTTTATTTATTTCCACTAAATAACAAAAGTACATCAAATCAGATTGAAGCTAAGGGCATACAAAAACTGTTTAACAGACTTCTATCTTCAGTTGATTTTCTTTGGAATGACAAAATTATTTTTGAATTTGTTCTCTATTTCATGTTTTATGGCGTCATTATCTAGCGGGGCAAGCTGACTTCATTTTTTGAAGTACTTATCTTTTTTACTTTTATTGGCCAACAAACATTTCCAATGGTCTATAAATACCTTCATAACTCCGAGTAAATCATACCCTCCTCGCTAGCAAGCATTGATTTCAAGCCCTATCACCTTTGTCATCAATATGCATACTCAAGATTCATCCAGCCATCCCACTCTCCATTCTTCTTCTGAAATTAAAAAAACAGAAGTCATTCGACACACAGCCAATTTTAGCCCTAGCATTTGGGGAGATTACTTCCTTGCATACACTTGTGATAACAAGGTTATTGTATATCTCTCTCTTTTTTTTTATATATATATATAATTTTTGGGCCACATAATTTTAATTCATATTGTTTCTGACATGAGAGAGTTGTTTTTATAGGAACCTGATACTTATGATAAACAAGTTGAAGAGCTAAAAGAAGAAGTGAAGAGATTGCTAACGAATTCTGCCAATAGACCGTTGGAAATATTGAATTTGATTGACACACTCCAACGACTTGGTTTGTCATATCACTTTGAGGGAGAGAGAAACCAAATGCTAGAACAAATTTTTGAAGCCCACATTAGCTATTTCAATGATATGGGTGATGATCTCCATGCAGTTGCTCTTCTTTTTCGATTGCTTAGACAACATGGCTACAATATACCCTGTGGTAAGGAAAAAAAAACTAATCATATTATTTTACTCCCTGTTTAAAGGGTTTTGGTAATGAGTCTATTCAGGTTAGTTGGATTATCCTATATGATGCCATTAAATTAGGGTGGTTTGGTTTGTAGTCGGAATTGGAATCGGAATCAGAATCGAAATCTTCTAGAATTAGAATCAGAGTAGTCCATTCCCATAGTCTGTTTGGGAATTAAAATCAGTAGGAATGGAATTTCGTTTTCAAGGAAGGACAGGGAATGACCATTCCTTCAAATAGGAGAATTCTATTCCAAAAAGAATGGGAATAGGATTCCAATTCTGCCCAACCAAACAGTTGGAATTGGACTGATTCCAGACCCCTATTCCTACAAACCAAATGGACCCTTAGATTCCCATGCCATAAACATTATGTGGATGAAGATACCAGCTTGAATGTTGGCTTGACATGTTTCAACAGTCCTGAGCTTATATATTGCACATTTTCTTCTATTTCACATTGCACTGCCTTTCCCCACTTGTTCCCTTGACATGATAGGACATGTTTGGAATAGATTCTAGTTAAATTGGGTTAAGCCCCACACCCATATAACAATCAATAATGGTGGTCCCTTAGGCTGTGCTTAGTTTGAAGGAAAAGGTAGGGAAACCTTTAGTCTATGCTTGGTTTGGAGGAAAAATTAGAGAAAGGAAGGGAAAGGTAAGGAAACCCTTACAAACTTTGTATAAATTTCCTTACCTTTCCCTTCTTTTCCCTACTTTTTCCTTCAAACCAAATACAGCCTTACAAATCTTGTATAGGTTTCCCTACATTTCCCCTTCCTTTCCCTACCTTTTCTTCAAACCAAACATACCATGCAAAAGTGTCCATGGAAAGGAAAATATAAACTATTTTGGTTGACCACTCAATTTCACTATATTTTTACCAATCAAACACTCATTTCCTGTTTTATTTGGCAAGTAGATGTGTTTAATAAATTCAAAGATGAACGCGGAAATTTTAAAGAAATCTTAACTAGAGACATACGGGGCATGCTAAGCTTGTATGAAGCTGCACATCTTGGGATACGTGGAGAAGATATTCTAGATGATGTCCTTTCCTTTACCACAACTCACCTTAACACCTTCGTTTCCAATGCAAGTTCCTCACTTGTAAAACAAATGATGCATGCCCTAGAGCAGCCCCTCCACAAGGGCACGGTTAAGTTAGAGGCTAGACGTTTCATCTCTTTCTACGAAGAAGATGAAACACGAAAAGAAGTGATATTAAAGCTTGCAAAGCTAGATTTCAACCAAGTGCAGTTATTACATCGCAAGGAGTTAAGCGAACTCTCAAGGTAATTTTCTTTTTGGCCATCTTTGTTGTGCTGTCTCTGAAATTGCGGATGACATAAATCATGTTTCTCTCAATATTTCACTTACAGGTGGTGGAAGGATATGGACTTTAAAACAAAGACACCTTATGCAAGAGATAGAGTGGTGGAGTTGTATCATATGTGGATTGTAGGAATTTATCCTGAACCACAATACTCTGTTGGGAGAATCATCCTAGCCAAAGTTATAGGATTGGTTTCAATTATAGATGATACTTATGACGCTTATGGTCATTTTAATGAACTGAAACTCTTTACAGATGCAGTTGAAAGGTTTGTAAACCAACCCATGTCATCGTTTGTCACAGTTTGAGATCTTGTTTAATGAAATTTCAACAGTGGGATTTGCATTAATTTTAATTATTAATTACTTAGACTTCAGCTTTGTCTCTTATAATCAGATTAAATGGTTCATATATGTAGGTGGGATGCTAGTGAAACAGGTAAGCTACCAGAATACATGAAAGTGATATATCTTGCACTCTTAGATGTTTACAATGAAATTGAACAAAACATGAAAAAGGAAGGAAGATCTTATTGTGTCTCTTATCCAAAAGAAGTAGTAAGTTACGCATGCTTCCATGTCTAGTTTATTTTATCAATCTTGAGATCTTGAGCTAGCTACACTCTAGTTTTAATTTCTATACCTATTCACCTAGATGAAAACTTTGGTTCGAGCCTACTTCTCTGAAGCCAAATGGTTATCTCAAGGGTGCATTCCTACAGTTGAGGAATACTTGGACATTTCTACCATCAGCTGTGGTTACCCTATGTTAACACTTACATCTTTCGTCTTCATGGGAGAAGTCGCAACAAAGGAAGCCTTTGATTTCGTATCAAGCACACCTAAGATTGTTAAGAATTCATCTTTAATATGCCGTCTGATGGATGATATCATGTCTAATGAGGTTTGAATCATATCATGGAAACATTTTTTTTAGCTGCTGTTGCTGATGAAAATGACATTTATAGTATCCATTTGTTGCTTAACTGAATTAACTTGTGATTCTCTTTCATTTTTGAAGTTTGAGCAAAAGAGAGAGCATGTGTGTTCTGCTATTGAATGCTATATGAAGCAGTATGGTACCTCGAGGCAAGAAGCAATTGATGAGTTACGTAAAGTTGCCACAAATGCATGGAAGGAAATGAATGAGGAATTGCTCCAACCTGCCTTACCACTGCCTCTCCTATTACGACCTATAAACCTTGCCCGAGTGATGGATACTTACTACAAGCATGGAAGCAGCTACACCCATCCAGGGAAACAGATGAAAGATGACATTGTATCTTTGTTCATCTCTCCAATTCCAATTTGAGCTCATGTTTGGCATGGGTTAGTTAAATTATGAGTAGCAACACTTTCTTTCTACAATATGATGGGAAAAATAATGTTGTATAAGAATAAGTTTGAAATAAATCGATAGAATAATTGATCTGGGTTTTAAGGTTGGTTATTTGGACTAGCTATTTTCTGATTCCAAGCTAAGACAGTGTATGTGCTTAGCGTCCAATATTATTGAATAAAATTATTTTATGTATGTGTCATTGGGTGTATTTCTAAGTTTTAGCCTATATCTATTGTTAGACAGTGTATGCCCTTAGCTCCAATCAGCATGATATACATTATGACATTTATTGCAAATGAATAAATTACATATTTGATTCATTTTATTCTGGTGTGTTTGATAGCTATGATTATAACCCTAGCAAGTGCATTAGTTATCAAGTAGTATAAAAATATCGTTCCCATGAGGATTTAACAAAATAAGTATTAGAACTACAGCCTTCCCTAATTATTTGGACAATCGAATTTCAGATTTAAGAGTAAAAACTAATGAAAAGCAG